ACAAACAAACAAACAAACAAACAAACAAATAAATAAATATCCAAACACCAAAATGAACACAAATGAACAATGTAAACAATACACTGAAACTTTGGGAAAGGGGGATTTATTGTAACAATGTACAACTAAAAGGTTCTTCACACCTCCCCTGGACTCTGTTTGCACCTCCCCAAGGGAGGTATACCTCACAGTTTGGGAAACCCTGCTCTAAGGGGTTTGCTATCCTCCTATCTTTTTGTCATCTGCCAATCTGATAATAATATGTTTTAACCCTTTATCCAAGTAATTTGTAAATCCATTGAACAATAAAGGGTCTAGAATAGAGTCCTAGGGTAGGAAACACCTTCCAGCCTCATATGGAGCTACTGATGATTGTTCAGCCATGTACAGGTAATGGTAGCCTAACCACATTTTGCCATCTTCTTGATTAGAATCTCATGGAAGGCTTCGTTGAATGGTTGACTGAAGTCACGACATACTGTGTCCATTGCATTCCCATGGTCAACTAAATGGCTACTGTCAAGAAAGTCTGGATTCAGGCCTTCTCCCCATTCCCCACTCCCCACTTTTGGAACAGCATTGATTCCTCTCCAGTTGTCTGGCACTATGTGTGACTCAAATTATTCTCAGATATCACAGACAAATGACCCACAATGATATCTACAAGCTCTGTCAAGACTCTTGTCCTAGAGTTTAACTTGTTCATGGTAGCCTGGTCCTCCCTCACTACCTCTTCACTTACCTTGGATTGCCACTTCCTGCTTGTATCAGTTGTTATCTTTAGGTCTATTTGAACACCATTCTCCTTTGCAGAGAAGTCTAAGCAAAATAGGAGCTGATGAGCTCTCTGTCACCTGTCACCACCCTACCATCTTCTCTAGGTAGCAAGCCCATTCCTTCCTTTTTCTTCTTCTTACTATTTACATAACAACAACAACAAATCCTTTTTGTTGCTTTTAGCTTTTCTTAAGTTCCTTTTGAGTGTTGGCCTTGCTTTCTGCAGGTATTAGCTATTTGCTGGTACTCTTCCTTAGTGATTGCACTCATCTTCCATTGTCCCTTTTAATTTTTAGCTCAGTCAAAAGTTCCCTATGCACCTACAATGGTTTCCTAAACTGCTCATCCATTTTTTCTATTCATTGGAATGGCATGCAATTGTACTCTCAGTACCTTATTTTCTGAGAAGTTTCAAAACCTCATGTACTCCCTTTGACTTAAAGATTTCTATCCATGGGATCTTGCTCAGAACTTCTTGTTGTACTGGTACTTGTTGAAGTTGACTCTTCTGAAGTCCAATTTCCCTTTCTGAAGATAAAAACTCTATTTTATTCTGACAGCTGAGCAAAGCTCCATTTCCTGTGGTAAAGCCATAAAAGATTTAAAACGTGTAAGATGCCAAAGCATCTCTCTCTTTTTAAAGTCAGGATTAGCAAACTTTTTTTTTTTTTTTGCTTGTATCAGAAGCAGTTATGAGTTTCAGCATATATAACCATTTAAAAGATTCTTTACTTCAGGTCTAAAACTACCCACCTTGCATCAGTGAGTCAAAATAAACTCTCTTCCTGTTCAGACTGTTCTGCCTGTGGTTTTAAAGAATATTCTACTAAGTTTTAACATCATTAGATTGCAATTTTTTACACACCCATTCACCATAGCTTCTAAACACTAACATGAAAGATTTGTGTTGTTCCTTATTTTCTCTCTGAACACCTAAATGTAAAATTTTTAAAAAGTTGTGCTTTTTGATTACATCCCCCCCCATTAGACTTGTCTTATATCTTTATCAGCAACTTAATAGACAACACTGTTCTTCTTTACTGCATTTTTCATCAATACTAAAGAGCCTTGGCAAGCCAGTGTTCCCCTTACCTTGTCCCCAGTGACTGTTCTATGATTTAAATGGTGTTATGCCAGTCCTCTGTATAGTGCAAAAGTGGCTTATCACCACAGAATCACTGGATGTACATTTAATTGATCTCCCCCCACCAGGGTTGATGTATCATAGATAGATAACAGGAGAGAGAAGCCTTAATTGAAAGATGGAAAATCCATACCGTGGACTAGTTGCAAGCCAATCAGTTCCCACAAAATCTCTCCCACCACCATACTACTGTACTGAGGACAACACATTCCATTAGTCAGCTCTAATATCATTACTCTGGTGAGACCTTGTATTTTTAAGCCAGGGTTTACACTTACACTTATTTGTCTCACTTATACTCTATCACGGCACAATCAGGCCGATCTTTGCCCTTGGTAATTTGACATTGGTCTCATCTCATTCCCAGCCCATGAATAAAACAGCCTTAAGTCCTTATTAGATATACTGGTTTTGAAGTAGTGACTCTTTCCTTTACTATTTTTATCAGTTTCCTCACTTCCCCTCTCCCTGTAAATTAAGAGAGACAGTTATCCAGTTGCTAGTCAGTTTCAGTTCTTTGCCTCTGTAGGGACTAACTAGTTGAAAAATCATGCAGAGTCTTGCCTTCCCCCTCTCTAGAACTATTTCTGACCTTGGGGTGTTCCTATATATCCCTCCTTTTTTTAAAACTTGGGAGATGCCAAAATGTGGTAAAGGTATGGGAAGAAGGATTAACTAACTACCTTAGAGAGGTCCAGATAAAACCCTGAAGTCAATCCTTCTCCATTTGTGCTATAGTGCCCCTGATTGCTGGTCTTCCCCATTGGTTGGTGATGTGCTGAAGGGGAGAATATTAAAGGAAAAGAGGAAAACAAATTGCTTCTAATGAGTGGTACACTCACAAACCAGGACAACACCACTTGGCAATGATTCAAACAAAAGCAATGAAGTCAGGGTAAGGATTGGCAGTGGGGTCAGCTATCAATTTTATGTTGGCATTGTTATATGCCAAATCAAGAATGGGGGGATTGCATTTTAACTGACAGGTGGAGAAGACCTTACGTTATGATAAGGATCACTATTATAAATTGGTAT